TGTTTGTTTTACATGTGTTGTTATGTTTATTTATTTGTTGTTTGGAACAACTCTGTGTCAAAAAGGTGCTATATAAATAAAGTTTTACTTACTTACTCTTACGGCACAGCTTGAGAACTGCACCAGCTTTGCTTTATGCTTTATGGTTTGATTCTCTTTCTTTCAACTGCTTTATGATATAATTATCCTGTTAATTATATAACGAGGACAAGGCCTGAGTTTGCCTTATATGGTCATGCAGGGTTTACAGCAGCGTTCAGTGGGCGGAGAACGGGACTAATTGTTCACTCGTCGGTTAGAAAGAAAGGTTTGGTTTGGTTGCAAAGCTTTGCATTCAGGTGATACTGTGTTTAAAAGTCAGACCTGGAAACAAATCATTAACAAATGTGGGCACGCTTACAGCAGCTTAATGGAAGTAATCTAACTAAATGTCACTTGTGACGGTTAATTTGAGTAAAGAGAATATATTGGGACACTGACACAGTTTGTGCTGCTCTGTATTTGAGGACATTAGATCACGTATAGAGTCAGAAGATAAAAGGATTTATTGCGTCATAACTCAAACTCAGGTTTGAAGACCTTCATGGACTTTCTGATTGCAGCAACTCCCACTGGGTGAACTCGTGGTACATGGTGACATAATTAATATAACATTACATATACAACATAAAACGTTATATTTTTGTCATTAAATCAGTTGGTTGGGTGAGATTGAGCAATAAATGAATGATTGTTTCGCTGTATTAGTAGAATTCGTCTCCACATCTCAGTTTTTTCTGTTATTTATTAAATAAATACATTTAATAAATAACAGAATGTGTTGCAAATCCTGATAAGAATTATTTTTGAAACTGTTATTTAAATTATTGCTTAAACACAAATATTACATTTAATGGAGGATTAAAAAAACAAGCTTTGAATGCGTAAAACATAAAGAAAATCGTGATTTATTTATGCAATTTCTGTTCCTTCTTGCGAGGTACTGAAATGAAACTGCAGTAAAATGAAAGAAATCGGATTGTAAGCACACAAAGAGAGTGACAAGAATGTATTTGAACACAAGAATGTATTTGAACACCATCAGAAGAATAACATATCCCCCCCTATTGTGTCTGAATCGTCAGCAGTCTTCCTCCCTCTGGGGGTGCTAAGTGAAGGTCAGGAGGAGGGAGAGTAGTATGGGAGGAAGATAGAAGTAGGACAGAGTGAAGTGAGGACGGGATTAGATGGATGTTAGTAGGACAGAGGGAGGGTGGATGAGAGGGTTGGAGAAGAGAAGGCGGGACAATTTAAAAAGCTTCAGATAAAATAAAAAATGGGGAAACAGAGGGGGGTCTCTCCCTCTCTCCGCTGTAGACCACTCGTCGCTTTCATCTGCTTCCACGGATGTATCTGCGCGTGGCTCAGCGGGAAGATGGAGGGTGATTAAAGTGGAGCTGTTGGAGTGTGGTCACAGTTTTCATGTGAAAGGCCTAATTACTGAGGGATGAGTACAATAGAAAAACACACACTGTCCATCTGGGTGCTTCCAGAGTACAGCGGACTCACTACTGATACTCAGTCACTCTTTGTGTGCTTACAATCCGATTTCTTTCATTTTACTGCAGTTTCATTTCAGTACCTCGCAAGAAGGAACTGAAATCACATAAATATCACGATTTTCTTTGTTTTACGCATTCAAAGCACCTGAAAGCTTGTTTTTTATCATCCATTAAATTTAATATTTATGTTTAAGCAATAATTTAAAAAACAGTTGCAAAAATAATTCTTATCAGGTTTTGCAACACACACACACACACACACACGTCATTAGATTCTGTTATTTATTACATTTATTTATTTGTGAAATTGTGGTTGGTGAGGTTTTTTGGGGGATTTCTTTTCCTACCCAAATCAAGGGTCTAAGGACGCACACTCTACAGACTGTAAAGCCCCCTGAGGTAAAGTCTGCTTTGTGATAAATACAATCTGACTTTGACGGGTGGCTGGAAATACCCGACATCACCTTCTTCCGCTGGTTAGTGAGAAAAACTCAAATACAAAGATGTCTCATGTGAAATTAGCAGTATTGTTCTAATTTGGCTAATATGAGATTGTTTGTGAATTCATATTAAGATTAAGAAAATTAAAAACATTATTTTTAAAAGGAGATTCCAGCTTTTTTCTTTTCTTTTCTTTTCTTTGTGTTTCTGACGCTCTAATCACATGCTTGCTCTGCGTCAAATAAGGCTCAGAAATAATGTTTAGGAAGGAAAAAGATTGAGGTTTATGGCTGAACCTTGTACGAGAGCTGAAATGAGGATGTTTTACTTGTCAGATAGAATTGGTTTCAGACTCTATATATGATCCAGATGTCGAGGTCCTACAGTATGTAAACAAATCCTGTTTGGGGTCTGCTTGCTGCTGTGTGGGAGTCAGCGATGCCAGAGATGCAGCATCAGTCTTATCAGCGAGCGGAGGGTGTTTTGGGTGTGCTGGACTGTGTCAGCAGGATAAGGTGGACCCAGCCCGCCGGTCAGTTGTTTACAGTAAGACATCAGCCCTCCCTCATGTTACCATGGTACATTGTGTCACTACAGTAGGTGTGCCTCGGTCAGTTTGGCAGCTGACCAGCCACAGTTGCTTTTTTTTTTTTTGTTTCCAAGAATTGAGAAGGCTGAAAGTTACTGATGTATTCGTTCTTTTTAAGGGAACGGCCGCCAGTTTAATACTGCGAGTAAAATATGTCTGTCTCTCCCTTGGGGATTTAATGCAAGACAACAATTTCATTTGATGTTTTCTGTTATTGGAAGCAGCTCGTGTTATATTAATGAAATGGAAATGAGCGAATAACAAAACAAAATGGCTCAGGTGGTTATAGGAGGAGAAGGTGTCTAACAGAGTTGCACAGTGGGGGTTTTAGACATTTACATTTTCACAGAGGAAATATTAATCTGACAGTAAACAGGAAGGGATTCATCTCTGCACATACTGTGTAGCTGAAAAATAACAATAAAAAAAGCAGATATGACTCGTTAAAGTGAAAGTTATTTTTCTCTGAGCCGGATACAGTGTTATAAAACTGCTCTGAACAACATGCTGAATAAGTGCTGAGGAAGAAGGTTGTTTTCTTTAACTTTTATCTCATAAACTCCAGGTTCAGATCCTTGAAGTAGCCGCTTATAAAGACTCTGTTCTAATTATCTACAATAAAAATTAGCCTGCAGTGCTGTTTTTTTATTTGTAAAATGATCAATTTATGTAGTAGGTCGGTGTATCTACAGTGTAAAGAGTCAGTTACTGTTTCTTATAAGTTCTTTGGCATTACAGGTAATATTGGAAATTACCTCTGACCAGCCTCCAATTGATTTGTTATTTTCCCCTCAGGTGTGTCTGACAGGCTGCTCCAGAGACCTGATGGTGCGGGTCGACCAGCTCTGCTCTCAGCGCAACATCAAGGTCTTCTGTGGGGATGTCTACGGTTACTACGGTTACATGTTCTGCAACCTCGGACAGGAGCACAACTACGTCGAGTAAGTGTGGGCTGCAACTCAAAAGTGTATTTTTAGCTTCAGTTTTCCTTTTCCACACTTACTTTCTTCACACGTGGGAGCTGCTGTGGGTTAAATGCCTTGCTCAACAGCAATGCGGAGTATGTTTGTCCCATTGGATATGATTAACGGTACAGGTGGAGGTGGAGAGTAAACTATTCACTGTGTTTGTTTCTCACTCACTGTTTTTTAACCACCAGTAAATTACAGGATGTTGACCTTAACATTAAACTACACGTTTGATTCATTTTCTTCTGTTGTCATGTTGGCTAGGATGGGATTTAAATTACAGGAG